TGAAGACCTCCTCACTATAGAGGAGCTTATTCACCTTTATCTCAGGTAAAGCTGCTATGATTAGTCAATTCATTGATCAGTTATTAAACAGAAAATGTATATGTTTATATGTTCATCATATCTTATTGCAAGTAGAATTGAATACATCATCTTGGACTTTGGTGCCACAGGGGTTCCATGGTTAGCACTGTCATGTAACAGCGAGAAGGTTCAGAGCTTTAGGCCGGCTGGGGCCCTTCTGTGTGGAGGTTGCATGTTCTCCCTGTGCCTGTGTGAGTGTCCTCCCACTGTCAAGCGGCATGCAGGTTAGGTTAATTGGCAACTCTGAATTGTCTGTAGGTGTGAATGTGAGAGTGAATGGCTGTTTGCCTGTGTGTCACCCCTGTGATTGGCTGGCAACTTGTCCAGGTTGAACCCCGCCTCTTGTCCACTGTCAGCTGGGATCGGCTCCAGCCTCTCACCACGACCCTCTGTCTAAAGGGTATTTTCTGACATTTTATAGATAAAACGACTAATCGAGAAAATAGTTGGATTTCTAATCTCAGGTGGAATAACCATTTATTTTATTAATTACAAAGCAACATGAACAAGGGACTTGAAAAGACACAAAAGTAGTGACATAACAAGGCCTACATGTAATTTGTATATTCAGTGGGTTAGATTAGAGGGCTACATTAGAACTTAGTATATCTGGGAAACACAAAAACAGAGGACAGTTTTGTATATACACTGTTCCAAATTATTATGCAAATATGATTTTAATTAAAGAAACATTAGATTTTTTATTTTTCAATGAAAGTTTTCAATTGTGCTGCTTCCCATCTCTGTTTAGATCACTGACATCAATCTCAGACAGGTTTGTCTTAATTAGTTTGCCAGGTGAGCCTAATTAATGTGAAACTACTTAAGGATGTTGTTCCACATTATGAAGCAAGTCACAGGTTTCATGCAATATGCAGAAAAAAACTATTAAGTGTTGCAAAAAACTCTTTTTTGCATAATAATTTGGAACACTGCAGTTTGAGTTATTTTGCAAAAAAATGCCATTGTCATCATTGGTAATTGTGTTTAATAAAATCCAGATTACGATATAATTGTTGAGGAATAAAAAATCCTATTGACTGCCAATTATGTCGACTATTTAAGGAAAAAAAGAACCAAAACAGTATATGCATAATAATTTGGAACACATTGTAATGTATAATAATGTATATTTATAAAAATATGCTACAAGGTCAGTTTACCCAAATCACAAAAGATTTAATAAATGGAAAGATACAGATGTGAAAGAAGAATAAAACTGAAACATATAGAAGAGTGAATTCATCTTGATTCTTCAAATGGGACACATAAAGACAACATCTCTGTCCTCTGGTGCCATCTTGTGGCCTTCAGTTGCAGTTTGTTACCCCCTTATTGTAGTACCAGCTTACTATAACTACTACTGTAACTAACTTACTGTTTCCCTTAAGATATGCAGATATCCTGATACACTCTGCTAGTGTGGGAACCAGCTCAAAGCTCTATTAGAAAAATAGTTTTAAACTATTTAATTTTTTTCAATACATAACGACAAAGGAGCAATCGGATGAATAAATGATGAGTTGGCTCCAGTTATAATTTAAGCAGAGTTAGCAGAGTAGGCTTACAGATTTATGGAGAGCCAGGTAATTATTTGTCTCCTTTTACCCACTGTTCCGCACCGTGTGTTAAACCCCTTTTATATTCAGTACAGTGAGGCGGAAAGTTGACTCCACCTGTATTTCCTTAGATCTGACCGGTGTAAGCAGACGCACACTGTCGTGGTAGTATGCATGAACACCAGCTGGTGATATAAAAATAGATTAAAAGAGGTATAAACCATCGAACAACAGGGAAAAGGAGACAAATAATGACCTATCCGGCTTTCCACACAGATTGCTGTAGAGCACACAATCACACAGGTTGAACTGTGTCTGAACACAAAACAAACAGAACATGCTAGGTGGAGCTGTACCACCAACAGCAAACATCCAAATCCAATGTCCCACGAAGGGTTATTAAGTACTTTGCAGATGGGCTTCCTCAGTCATGATCTGTATTTGCTTGTACGGTTTTACAGCAAACCAGACCTAGCAGAGAATGCAAAACAAGGCCTCAACAAACTGCTGGCTAATGAGGTCCCCATTGAGATAAAGCCAGTCAACCCACCACACTTCTACAGACTCGCTGCATCCGAGCCGAAGAAACTGTTCTGGGTGCGAGCACGAGGATATATTGGTAAAACACATTAAATGCACATTTACATTACAGATATTGAACAGCATTTATACTAAACTTTGTAACTGTAGGATATTCTTGCTTTTTCCATTCCATTCTCCATCTGTTTATTGTATTTGTGTGTTTGTGTAGGTGAAGGCAACATGAAGCTGCATTGCTGCGTTGCTGCTTACGTCTCAGACTATGCATTCCTGGGCACCGCGCTGCTGCCTTATCCCGACTACAGGGCCATGTTCTCGGCCTCCTTAGACCACGCCATGTGGTTCCACAGCACGTTCCGCAGCGATGAGTGGATGTTGTATGAGTGCGAGAGCCCATGGGCAGGTCAGTATGTTGTTCACCTCCTGTCTGCTGTGCTTCATTTGTTACAAATACGCCTTTTTCCACTACCGGAACTTCAAAGACTCCTAAACTGAACCTTCAAGAGAAAACATAACAGTGCTGCCCTGCTGCTAAGAGGAGTAAACATACCACTGTTACCTGAAAGTTACTGTGTAATAAACTTTTAACATACTCCCCAACACTTGCAAACAATCTACAGTTTACATGTAGGCCTGTATATTGATGCAAACTTCCTTCGGTGTTTGTCTAAATACTTTATTGATTGTGGTGCTGTGTTGCAAACTAGCTGTTACTTTCCCCTGAGAGTACCTGGAACTTGGATTTAGTACCACATTCTGAGCTGTGCTGAAATTGAAGTTCCCGTACTCACCCACAGAGCTGGGGGAGTACAGTAGAGACAATAGCAGAAGTTACTGGTCGTTCAGTTCTTTTAGTGAAAAAGGTCTACAAGTAATGGAGGTCACACTTGCTACACAAGCACATGTAATTGTATGTATTTCCACAGTGTTCTGGTTGTTGGTTTACCCAGCCACAGATGCTTTCACAGCGCTCTGTTGGTAAATGGTAAATGGACTTGATTTGATTTCTTTTGGATTTTTAACTCAACCTACTGTTTGATCATTTGCTAAACAACCATTAGAATAAGGAAACTTAAGCAATCAGGACATTTTGGTGTTGTATTTACTATAGAAGTATTTGCTTAAAAATACTTAAAATCATAAAATAATAATGAAAATATAAAATATATTTACTTTGAAAATGTACTTTTATATTTACTAATATATATTTTCACCCATTTACAAATTGGGTTGCACTTGGGTAACTTGTACAATTGGTTCTAACTTTCAAGCATTTTGTGCCTCTTGACATGCATGTGCTTATTAACAAAAACTAATTGGGATCCAATTTTAGAATAAAGATTACCCATTTCAGTCGACCTCGTCACAAGTTTGGACAGTAGCATTCCTGCTGTAATCCTAACATGTGGTTTACGTTTTGTCCCACAGGGGGAAGCAGGGGACTGGTTCAAGGCCGACTGTGGAGGAGAGACGGGGTGCTGGCTGCCTCGTGTTCCCAGGAGGGTGTCCTGAGAGTGAAACCTGTCACACAGCCCAGCAAACTATAAGCACATTCCTGAGATTGTTTTTCCTGTTTAATTTATTTGTAATCCTAATAATATACATTTCCTTTGGTTTTTACACATTAAATGATATATATATATAATGTTATATAGTAACAAATTCATGATTGCTTCATTCTGAACATGCAGAAATTAATTTTATTTCCAGTCAATAAAGAATGAAAAAACTTATAATGGATGATTCTTGTCATTTTCTGACATGTTAAGAAGTTTCTGATAGTCAGAAGTGCCACAGTCATGATGACAAAATAAGAAATCCAAAGCATGGAATTGTGTTTGATCACACTTCTTGAAAGGCATCACACAAAAATAATACATTTTAAATAAAAAAATACCTGCCACTGAGCTTTATTATTATTATTATTTCTCTTATTTGAACAGGGACAGTGCACAATAAAACATTAACCCTGTATACAACAAGGAGAGATGCATTGCACCGGGTTTTAGCAAGGTGCTATTTTCCAGCCGTAGTCCCTGGGCAGGTAGATGGAACATATGCTTCATTGCAAATAGAGGGCCAACACTATCCACACTATAGAAACTCAGATGGCATAACATCTGTATGCCTGTCTACTACCAGCAGCTGTCCTGTGAGTTACATTGATGGGAAGTGAATATGTGTCTGTTTTAAAAGAGGAATAATCCGGTGAATGGGATGTAGAGCAGGACAGCGAAGGAAAGGAACAGCCTGATCCCCCAGTGGAGAGTGAAGAGTGAAATTACTGTGAAATAGGACAGCTAGGGAAATGTACAACCTGATCCACCAATGGAAGATGAAATGAGTGCAGTCAGCAGGACAGCCTGGACAACGAACAGTCAGAGACTACACAAGAGGACTGACTGACTGGACGTGGGGCAGTCTTTAAGTCTGTATGCAAAGAGAATTACTACGTGAATAAATCCAAACATTTGTCAAACATTTGCCTTTCATGAAGATAAACTACAAGATCACTCTAGTACGTGCGCGCTGCACACCATCCGGGTGAATCACTGTGCCGTCGCAGGAGTTCCACCATTTTCGTTCCGTGATCACATCGTTATTAACTAACGTCAGTACAATAAACGGTTATCGCCATTTATGAATCCATACAGAATCGTGTACGATAGAAATCACCAGCCTTGTGTGAACCGGTGTTTTCAAACACCCCTACTTATTGCCACACTGCTGCATTAACGCTTGGTTGTTATGCAGTTAGCGCCCTTGGTTACCACTTTCCACCCATCATGCATCACTGCTAGGAGAGCTCGAGAGGTAACTTGGGCAACGGTTAATATAACAGAGCGTTACAGGTAGAACAGAATGTAACAGGCGAACAGTTACCGTTGCTCTCTATTGAATGTCCCGTTAATGGAGAGTCATTAGAGAAACATTAACTGTAAGCTTCGAACTCGAACGTAACGACGCCTGGCTATTAGCTACATGGCTAGTTAGCTTACATTATTACTGCAGTGACCAAGAATGACATCGTGTGCGAGTTAATATGGTCAGTTATTCACGGTAATGTCGATTATAGCCGATGAATGGCCGTGCTAACTCGAGCCACGGTTAGATAAAATAGAAATAATGTGTTAAAGACACTTCAGACGGGTCTAACTTCGAGTCACAACCTGTTTCTAGGTGTACGGATGTAAACAAGGGCCTGCTTTGGTGAGTGAATCTAATTCAAGGATGGAGAAAGAACAACACAACACTGTCGTCTTCAACGCTTCGAAAAGAGAGCTGTTTACTGCGAACAATGGCTACAAATCCATGCAGACGAGACTGAAAGCTCAATGGAAAATTCAAAGGTGAGGGTTATTGGCTTTTTATTTGAACTATACTTACTTTTGCAGTCATTTTGAGTAACCCCTCAGTTGCAAAATAAATGCTGTCTCCCCTAGTATGAAGGAAGAGCTGTCTTCGGAGAAGCTGAAGGGTGTCAGATTGTGGATAACAGCAGGCCCAAGGGAGAAGTTCACAGGATCAGAGGTGATGTTTAAAATCTTAAAGTAAACTGGGATTTGTTCATTTCCATATAAAAGCTCATGGCGTGAGAGATGGTAGAAATGGCTAAATGAACCTTTGCTGTGCTGCTTTTAAATTCTGCACTCACGTTTCCGCTCTGTTTTATTTCAGCTGGAGGTACTGAAGCACTACCTGGACGGAGGAGGAAATGTCCTGGTCATGCTTGGTGAAGGAGGAGAAGTGAAATATGACACCAATATCAACTTTCTCCTGGAGGACTTTGGAATAATGGTCAACAATGGTGCATATTGAAGTTTGTTGACATCATCTGTGAAGTTACAGGGTTTGTTGTCACAATCGTATTGAATTCTGTGGTGTCTGTTTTCTCTCTCACCGTTAACTGCTGCAGATGCTGTCGTGAGGAATGTGTATTACAAATACTTCCATCCTAAAGAGGCACTTGTGTCCAATGGTGTTTTGAACAGGTATGTTGTTGATTTATCACACACTCACTTTATACAGTATATTCCAATTAGTCCTGGAGTATTTGTAGCCTATATATGTTTATATTAGGGATCGACCAATGTGTTTTTTCAGGGCAGGCACAGGTACTTACTATTAATCAAAGAAAATATATCTGGTATTAGGAACCGACATACATTTGCAGCAAAAATTAGGATCTAACCAGTGGTGGAGTGTACTGTACAATTTTGAGATACATGTAAGTTACTTGAGTATTTTAATTTTATGCTACATCATACTTGCACTCCGCTACATTTTGGAAGAAAATATTCTACTTTTTACACACTGCATTTATTTGATCTCTTTAGTTAATAGTTATTAAGCAGATTCACATTATTTTTTTATTTTCTATTTTCTAAAGTTATTTTTTGGCCTTTTATTGCCTTCATTTGATAGATACAGCTAAAGACAGACAGGAAAGGGGAGTAGAGAGAGGAGATGACATGCAGCAAAGAGCTGCAGGTCAGATTCGAACCCTGGGCTGCTGCAGCATGGACTCAACCTCGGTACATGGGTCGCCAGCTCTACCCACTGAGCTAACTGGGCGCCCCAGATTCACATTATTAACCCAAGATAGAAATTATGAAATATTATCATAGATTAATCTACCAAGCAGCATTAAGTAATGGAAATAAAAAAGCTCCACCTCTACCATTGTGTAACCAGTCAGATAGTACTGTGGGCGGGACATTGATTGAGACTACAGACAGTGAGAAGATGCTGCATCTGAGGCAAAAGAGCGCCTTTTTCTAATCAGTCAATAATAGGTCTATCCCTAATGTATATGCATTCAAATTTAGTTGTGATAGATATACTATGCTTAATCAGTTTGTAAGCTGGTGCAAGTCATAATTCTCTATTTTCTTATTTAGAGAGATCAGTCGGGCTGCTGGCAAAGTGGTCACGGGAATCATTGAAGATGAAAATGTTGGAAACAATGCACAGTGAGAGATTTACTTTTCTATCTTCTACACTAAGTACAGCATTTAGTGTTTTGAATGCAAAATGTTCTGTCTTTATTTGTGCAGGGCTCTCACATTTGTGTACCCGTATGGTGCCACGCTGAGTGTGATAAAGCCTGCTGTGGCTGTTCTTTCAACCGGCTCAGTCTGCTTCCCCCTCAACAGGCCCGTCCTGGCCTTCCATCAAGGAAAGGTCAGAGGCACAATGTAGTTTTCTTACTCATTCCCAGACCATATGATACTTGGGAGATGATGTTGAAAGATGTCTTGTGTCTTATGAAGGAGGCTGGCAAACTGGTAGTGCTGGGTTCCTGCCACATGTTCAGTGACCAATACATAGACAAAGAGGAGAACAGTAAAATCATGGTGAGTCCGCTTGACATTTAATTATTAGTCAGCTAATGAGTATTCTGCTCTCCTGTGGAATTTGTTGAGTTCTTTTTTTAAACTTTTTATTCCAGGATGTTGTGCTCCAGTGGCTCATGACTGATAATATTCAGCTGAATCAGATTGATGCCGAGGACCCCGAGGTGAGGAAGTGTACTTGACAGGGGAACGGCCTCACTAATATTGTTTGTTAAACTAGCTGACATCCAACTTGTCCTTTCGTCCCTCAGATCACAGACTACACCATGTTGCCAGACACAGGGTGCTTGTCAGAACAGCTCCGAGTGTGCTTACAGGAGGGTGATGAAAACCCCAGAGACTTCACCTCGCTCTTTGATATGTCTTTGTTCAATTTGTCGACTGACACTTTACCCCAAGTTATCAGGTGAGAATGCAAAATACGCCCTAGTGTGTCACTGCTCTGCATTTCTCTGCTAAATATAATAAAATGTTTTTTGCAGTGCTTACAAGCAGCTTAACGTCAAAGACGAGCCCCTTCAGCTGATCACACCACAGTTTGAGACCCCACTGCCTCAGCTTCAGCCTGCTGTAAGTGGGAGTCCTGTGTTCCTGTCCCAGACAAAGTTTTCCCACATACTTAAGATTCATATGCAGCTGAAATGTGAAGGGGACAAGCATTCAGCCCCACAAGTTTAAACCCAGAAGTTGGTGTTTTTTTTTTTTTTTTAAAAGGTCTTTCCACCCGCGTTAAGCGATTTGCCTCCACCCATGCTGGACCTGTTCGATCTAGATGAAACGTTCTCTTCTGAGAAAGTGCGCCTTGCACAGCTCACCAATAAATGTGAGTTCAGCACTTGACTAAACAAAATGATTAACCGCATCTTAAAATAAATGTACTGCTATATCTGTGTTAATGTTTTTCAACCCGTTCCATTCACAGGCACAGACGATGATCTTGAATTCTACGTGCGAAAATGTGGCGAAATTCTGGGGGTGACTCCAAAGTTGGACAAAGAGCAGAGGGATGCAAAGCACATCTTGGAACACATTTTCTTCCAGGTTGTGGAGTTCAAGAAACTCAACCAGGTGAGACACCTTTCAGATTCCTACAAAACATTGTTAATCGAAAAGGTCTAAACTAAAAAACTAATTTCTCCCCATTACAGGAGCATGATATGGATGCTGAGGTACAGTTCACGCCATTGTAACTGGATTCAAGATTTTCAGCTCTTGCCTTTTACTGAACCCTGACCAAGCGTGTGAGAGTGTATTTACTGGAGGTGGTAAATGGACTGCTACAGTAGTTGTGGACTGCTGTAACAACATGGCACTAAGGTGGAGAAACTGTATAAAGTTGATATTTTGTATCTTTCTACTGTTTATTTTTTGAAGAATTGTAACACTTAAGCAAATAAAGTCACTGATACTTTTATTTAAATATTCCACATCTTTAAAAACATTGTTGAGGCATACAAAGCTCTCTGCATTAATCCTCACAGATGGGTCCTGTAAGACAAAATGAAGAGCTAGAACATGGAATTGCAGTTTGCCAGAGCATTTAATGATGATTAAATATGGCTAACTAAGCTGAACATCTTACCATCACATGAACAATTCACAATGATCCATCCTTGATGCATGGTGGGTGCAGAGGTAGGCAATCACGGCTGAACACCCCAGATTTCTTCCTTCCAAACCTCTCCATGTTGGGTGTGTGTAGAGAGACATTCTAGGCCACCTCAGGGAGAAACTTCAGCTGGTGACTGTTGTGTAGACTCTAGTGTAAACTGGGGTTTTGGACTCCAGGTTTGCTCTAGTGAGCTGAACTCCATGTAGGGTTTGGGGCTGTTACTCTCCGGTTTAATCAAAGACACATCCCATGACATTTGAGAGCCAGCGAGATCACTGTACATCTGGTCAAAACAGGCAGCCTGTTTCTGCTTTTGAAGGAGCATGTGGGGAGTGGAGGACTTCCCATGTAAAGGCACAGTCAGGTGACAATTGTCCGGCTCCTGAGTGTTCAAGCTGCTCATTGAAAAGGCCTGAAGGGGAGAAATGGGGTCAGACGGCAGGCATAGAGAAGCCAGGATGGACAGCCTGGTGTCAGACCCATCAGCTACCGTGTCATTTGAAGCCCTTGATGTGGACAGTTGTTCAAGCGACAAAGCAGACAGCAAACTCTGTTCCTCAAAAAACTTCCTGTCAAGCTCTGATGGAGACGAACACTCAAAGCTTTTCATATCTGCAAGGTAAAATGTAAGATGCCACCTGTGACCACATCATCTGATCAGAATTAAATGAATAAATCTATTTTGAGACTAAAACCAGTTTTCTTACCTTTAATGACAGAAGCTTTCTCCATTGTCTCCTCTCAGCCAGTGAGTGTCAGCTGAGCTCCAGGTGGGGTTTTAATCAGTTGAAGCTGCTTGTTAATTGACCCAGCTGGAGGCTGAGCAGTCATCAGTCTGGTGGAGGTGCAGACACATTTTTATTTGTGATCTCTTTTTCTTTTGTCTATGTTATTTAAACAAAGTGGTATTTTGACTATGTATATTTAGTGTCTGTTCTAACAAACAAAGTTAGAATAAAAGAGCACTCAAAAAATCTAATCTTCCTTTAAGATTTACATTATCATGTAAGTTATATTAAGTTGAATATTATTTTCCAATAAATTGTTAAATGGGTATATAAATGTAATAAAAGAGTCAAAAATGTTTCCAGAGACCAAGATGACACTTCAAAATTGCCAATTTTAAACCAATGAATCAACAAAGGAAAAAGCAGTGAATCTTAATCTTTGACAGGTTGGAACCACGGAATATTTAATAATTTTGATTGAAAATTAATTAAATTTTCTGTTGTTGGATTAATTGATCTCAAGATATGGTTATTGTTTTATAATAAATGTTATCATTTGTATCCGTTTAATATTTTATTTTCTATTCTATTCCGTTTTTGTTTGATTACGAGTGGCGCTTTTTTTCTCAAGGCTTTATTTTGAAGCTCCCGCCGGAAATGGTCTTTGCGGCTCCTCGACCCTACGCGCACATCTAATGCGCACTACGTCACGCTCCGGCTTCTACGATAGAGAAGGGCGCGAGATAGAAATCCAGGAGCGCGGACAACTCGGGCGCTCCGCTCCAGCTGGTTACGAGCTGCAACATTACCATTCAATACAACAGCACCGAGCCGCCACCGCCACCGCCGCCACCGACCGCTCCATAAAGACCATAAAGAGGCGGGATACAACGGTAGAACACCGAATATACATGCACATGACGTGCAACGGAATTAGGACAAATTACCGTCTGACCGTAAACAACAGAAACAGAGGGAAATGTCTTGGTGGCCGCGCGGGTAAGATGTTCAGCTTTGTTATCTGAATCAACAGTAGCATTAGCAATACTTATTTAGTCAGAGGCAGACTTAAAGCTAACATTTAAGGTTACAGTATTAATGGCATTTAGGTGAAATGTTAGCTTTTGGCCTAATCTTGGAACTTGTGACTACTTCACGGACCTCTGCCGCCCTTTTCCGGAGAATCACGATAATCAGGTTTTAACGCCGGACACTCTCTTTATGAACTCCCAGCAATAAAATACATCTGCCTAACACTGTACCCAGCTTATAACTGTGTCAAACGATCGCTTATGCCTGTATGAGCCTATTAGAAACAAACCTGATAGTCAAGTTTTCCTCGCCCCACCGCAAGGGCGGGTCAGGAGCTATTTTCTGCGTTCACTGTCAGCCTTCTTCGTCCACATAACAGCTGTTTGTTTCTCAGTGAGGATGGAGAGGAGGCCATGCATCAGGACACTGACTCTGATGTGGCAGAGCAGAGAGACGGTGGGAAAGTGAAGGTGAAGTGGACACAAGAGGAGGTGAGTGCCAGGACTTGTCCCAGTGATTTGCATGTAGTCTCAATGAGCTCTACAGGACAGGGTGCATAAACATGCTTATTTGTTTATGTTTACAGGATGACAAGCTCAAGGCGCTGGTTCAAAAACTGGGACCAAATGATTGGAAATATATTGCCAGCTACATACCAGTGAGTTTGATAACTTTTCAGTTGTTGTTTATGGCTTATATATCAACAATAATACCATTCATTGATTTTAAACTTCTTAAACTTGTTTTGTTTTTCTTAGAGTCACACTGAACACCAGTGTCAGCACCGCTGGTTTAAGGTCTTGGATCCAGAATTAGTTAAAGGTCCTTGGACCAAAGAGGAGGATGAGAAGGTAGGTGATGTGTTATCTAGTAGTGCAGGGGTTTGAGAACAGTGTGGCTGATCAGAGTTGTAATTCAGCTGTGTACCCCTCATTCCTCAGGTCATAGAGCTTGTGAATCTCTACGGCAACAAACAGTGGGCACTGGTGGCCAAGCATTTGAAGGGCAGACTCGGGAAGCAGTGCAGAGAGCGCTGGCACAACCACCTCAATCCCAACGTAAAGAAGTCGTCGTGGACGGCAGAGGAGGACCTCGTCATCTACAAAGCTCACTGCCTGCTCGGAAACCGCTGGGCTGAGATCGCCAAGCTGCTCCCTGGAAGGTAAACACTCTCCATCGTCGCTAGAGGATGCGTTTGAAACTGTCCTCATAGTTGTGTGTGTGTGTGTGTGTGTGTGTGTGTGTGTGTGTGTATAAATAAAGCCTTGTCTTCTCTAGTGGACTCATGTTCTAGTATTTATTCACAGGACGGATAACGCAGTGAAGAATCACTGGAATTCCACCATCAAACGCAAGTTAGAGATGGGCTTCTATGCGGGGGAGGTCTTTAAGCCAAATGAGCTTGAAGAGCTGCTGGCCCGCGTCAATAAAGACGTGCAGGTGGGCAGTCTTTTTTGATGACGTTCTCCTTAAAGATGGATGCAGTATTGAACTGTACGAACAGTATTGATAATTCAGTTTTCTGATCACACAGGTGCCCAGTTGCTCTCAGGATGGTGCAGACAAAGAATCAGATCAGAAAACACAACCTCCAGTAAGCAACCAATCGCATCGTTTTGAAAAATGTCACAATTTAAACACAGTGTGGCTCTGAATAATTAAATCTCTGTCATTGACTTGAATAAAGTCTACATAAGCAATATCTGTATGACACAGCAGTGATCATATTTTCAATATCAGTGTAATAGATGTTTACTTTTTCCACCAGCTGCAGGAAACGCCCATCTCAGCCTCTGGTGAAGTCAGCTCCAGCGAAGCGGGTCCGTTGAAGGCTGCGTCCTCTCCAAAGGACAGTTTAAGCCCCAAGACAGAAACAGACAGCACAGGAGAAACGAGCTGCTCCAGCTGGGTGGTGGACAGCTCCGGCTTTCTCTCCCCTACTGGCCCCGCACTGAAGGAAGTGCTGGACATGGTGGACGGGGTAAGCAGGGTGTCTTAAAAAGTCTCAAATCCAATAATCTGAATGTTAGGCCTTAAAATGTCTGAAATATATAATTTTGATTGTATCGCAATCATTAAGTGATTTTCATATCCTTCTTACTTTCTTTTGCCAGTATGGACTTAAGATAGGTCTTAGATTGCATTCATTATGGTCTTAAAAACTCTTAAAGACTATATAGTATTTCATTTATGTATTTAATAACTCATACTACTCATCTTGGCTGCTGCATTGCAACCTCTTATTTCTACCAGTGACAGACAGTGCTGTTGAACATAAAGTTTACAGGGTGACCAAATATCCTGGAAATAATCTATGTTGTCCTGGAAATGTTTAATTGTATTTTAGCCTGCATTGTGGCTAAATTAATGTTACAGTTGGAGGGAAACTAGTCAATTGGGAAGTGGAGTGTCCCATAAATGATGAATCTATGGCTGACCGCCAAGTGCAGTCCTGTATTGTCAAGAAAAACTCCTGGGAAACGATTTCTTGAAAAATAATGGGATCCCTGGTTGAATTATACACAGTTCAGTTGTGCTGTTTTAATATATTGTCATTATTATATGATATAACCTTCTTTTAACTAGTTACCTTGTTTTATTTTCTATTAAGTTAACCTTTATGACCTTTTACTGTCTTACCCCTCCGATACTGATTCAAGGGCAAAAAAGGCATTTTAAAGGGCAGCTATAAGTGTCATATTCTGTAGTCGTAGCTAGACATCCAACTAAAATGTCTCCTCTGCTATCAGGACATCGATGGCTGGTGCAACCTCGCAGCCTTTGACCTGCCGGAGGACAGTCCGAGTCCCGAGCGCCACCAGTTCCGCCTGGAGGGCAGCGCCTTGCAGGAGTTGAGCAAAGGCAGCAAGGGGGAACTCATCCCCATCTCTCCTGGAGGGGTCACGCCGCCCTCCATACTGAACCGCAGAAGCCGGAGACGCATCGCCTTGTCCCCCGACGCCAATAACTCCATGACTCCCAAGAGCACTCCTGTCAAAATCTTGCCCTTTTCCCCGTCTCAAGTAAGTCGTTTGATCCCGTCGTTGTGACTTTGGTGCTGCTCGCGATGTCACATGAGACGGTCTAACCAACTAACGTGTGTTGTTCCAGTTCCTCAACATGTGGACCAAGCAGGACACTCATGACCTGGAGAACCCGTCCCTCACGTCCACGCCGGTGTGCAGCCAGAAAGCCATTGTTACTACGCCGCTACAGCGTGACAAGACCCCCCTCACTCAGAAGGAAAACTCAGCGTGAGTGGACTCGAAATAGGAATGGGTTCTGATAGCTGGTTTCATGTTCGGATCCAGTCAAGGATATTTGGAATACGTTGCTTGTGATGTACAGGAGGCTACAACTGTTCACTGAATGTGTCAGATACATTCAGTGAACATTTCATACATCAAGCTATCTCCTTTTGAGGTTGTGAACACTAGCTAGCTGCAGATGTGGAAATGCTAACCTAATAATAAGCTATTCAAAATGATTCTGATTCAGTACTGGATTTGAATTTGATTTTTGTTATGTAGATTTGTCACACCCAACCACAAGTCCGATCTCTGTACGACTCCACGGACCCCGACACCATTCAAAAATGCCATGGAGAAGTACGGTCCTCTGCAGCCACTGGTGAGCATCTGTAGCTGTCAGTGAAAAGCAACGAGTTCAGTTCATGCCTTTATCAACACTGCATTAACACTATAATGTGTGTGTGTGTGTGTGGAATCTTAGCCCCAGACTCCAAACCTTGAAGACGACATAAACGAGGTCATCCTAAGAGACGCTGGGATGGACCTGGTTGTCGTCTGCTCGACTCCTCCTGAGCAAAGACGCAAAACAATGGTAACTACGGGTCAACTTTAATATTTAACACCTTCTTTAATCCTTCAATCTCTGTTGGTGTTGCTGCATTTTTAAGTCCTGTGAATTTTCTTCTTCCTTGTGTTCTTACCATTCACCTTAGTAATGATGTACTTTTTAAAATGTATTAATATTACTTCAAGGCTGATGTAGCAGATCTTACTAGCTGCCATTTATCTACAATATGTGGTTGATTTTTGCAACATGTCTTTACTGCAGCAGCTTTAAGCATAAAGACCTTGTGTCGCAGTAGAGACAAATTGAAGGCGAGTTATAAAATAAACTTCCAGATTAAAATCTTAATGGCTATATGCAATTTAGTGTATAGTTGGAATATAGTGGTTAAATTAAAATTCATAGAAGCAGAGGACTTCATTTGGGAGTTAAAAGTGACCATGGTTGCAGAAACACGCACATGAGATCATAGAGAGCCAACTGATATAAGAAAATAAGACAAACTTAAATATTTTTATTCCAATACCAAGTACTGTAGATCACACTCATTTATTTTATATATTTATAGATAGATAGTAAATATTTGGAACAACAATTTTTCAGGAAGAACACTGGAAAAAAATCTAATGTACTGAATTACAGAAGCTAGTGTAACAGCAGCTGGTCCACAGGAGAAGCCAGGGATTGGCTTTCTGTAATGGTGTATGCTGACACATTAGAACATTTAGTGTACAATTCAAGCTTGACCTAGTATAGAAAATAATAAAGAGCATGGACAGGGTGACTTCTCCGCAGGCGTTTATATGATGTAACTGGCCTGTGTGTCTGTTTAACTGCTTGGGAATGTTGAGTACTTGTTTTCAGTTTTCACACAGCTTCACAGATTCACACCTTGGAGCTGTGCATTACAATGACAGTCTTCCACTGTTGGTCAGCAGGCGGCGGCTCAGGAGCAACTCAGTGTGAAATCTCTACTTCACTCACTTCCCCCAACCAGAAATGTCTAAGCTTCTGCTGCCACCACCATTAAAGAATGCTTGGAACTGGGATGCTGGAGCTTCCCTGCTAGAACCTTAGCAATGAAACAGAACCTAAAGCTCAATGTTTGCTTGCTTGTGCCATTTTTCCCCCTCACCTATTGTTATTGCTTTTATTTTGGACAGAAATTGTACTTGCCGTTGTTAACACAGACTCTATTTTCTTCTTCCCAGCATCGGCCTCCTATGAAGAAAGTGCGCAAGTCATTGGCCCTAGATGACTGCCAGTCCAAACGCAAATGCCTCAAAACCGAAGCCAAACACAACATCAAGGTAAAAACATAAATAAATAAAAAAATAAATGTGTTGTTAGCCTGTCCCTAGATTTGACCCATACTAAATCTTTTTGTCCTTCTGTTTTTGGCCACAGGAAGAACCCGTGATAGTTTGTCTCAGCTCCCCATCATTTTGCAATAAGCAGCATGAAAATATTTTGGATCAGGGCTTCCTTCTGGGACCTAGTGACAGTGTGCCATTTCCCAGCACGGTGCCCCCGATTCCGGTAAGTTCCACCTTTTTAACCCTAAAAAGGAATAAACATCCTCATCAAGTCTTCTAACATGGCTTTTCTACTTTGACCTGATTCTATCGTAACGTTTTTTTTAATTCTTTCTTCAGATGTCAAAAGAATGGGAGACGGTTGTTTGTGGCCAAACTAAAGACCAGCTCATAATGACGGAGAAAGCAAGGCGCTACCTTCGCTCACTGAAATCCCACGCTCCCAATCGGGCCCTGATTCTGTCCTGAGACACCAACATGTTACACATGCACAACTTAGTGTTGCTGTTGCTGTTTGTCCCTTACTGTTTGCTATTTGTGGTGGAAAAAAGAACATGTCATCTGTAGGTTTACTACAGTTTTTGAACAAGTCATTAGCAATCAAAACAATATACAGTCCTATCAATTTGAGAGAGAATGGTGCTTTTAGATGTAGTCCCACTCCAGTGGCCTTAGGCAAGACTTTAAAAACAAGTCAATTGATCACATTTAATTGTATTGTTGTCACTTAAACATGTTTAAAAAGAACAATGAATGTAAAATTGAAAAAAATCACGGCTATATACTTTTGCTATCACTGAAAAGACATGGTTTTACATTGCATAATGTGTCTGTAACAGTTTTTTTTAAAGTTGCGAAGAATACAAACACTCAGGTTGTATAACTTGAATATGGAGTGAATTCAGACAGGTTGATCAGTAGTGTATTTAGAGATGAAGTGTCCATGTTGAAAATGTTAAGTGAGCATTGTCTTGTAAGATTGGTTAAGCATGTGTATAGATTTATAATATACATCTCAGTACACATTAAAAATGAGGATCTGGGTTCAATTAGACATCTGCTGGAAATCTGCAGCACACTACCTACACAGTGATGAATATACTTGGGAAAGTTTTATACTCTATCCAAGTAGTTTAGGTGTAATGGAGGCATGAAGGTGTACCAGCGTTGATGGTAAGGGTATTATATTGTTATTTGGCACTGTTTGTAAATACTAAGTGTTGTATGTTTTTACTTTCTTACAACATTTTGTTAAGAGATGTAATAAAATGGCAATAATATTTCCAATACACAATTTCCTCCTGACTACTACAGCTCGAAGCAGCTTTACACTGTACTGTATATCTATCACTGAACATTTGACTGGTTGTAGTTTTATGTATTTGTGTCTGTGTTAATAGTGTACTATCAATTTCATCTTTGCAAATGATAACGGGTGTTTTTATAATCCATTAGCCTGCTGGAACTAGGAAATACCTTCACATGGGCAAATATGTTTTATCATGTCTTGGGCACCTGTAGCCTGCTTGAGATTATCAGAAATATCAATCTCAACTTTATCTGCTATGATTAAATGCACAGAAGCTCAGAACCTTCTATTAGGAGCATTTGTTACATATCACGATTTACGTAAAGTGTAACAAACATCGTCATCATTTAACATAATTATGTAAATAAATTGGCAATACAATTGTAATGAACTCACCATTACTATTATGAAACGGCACATTGACTGAATTTGTGTATACGTGTACTTAAAAAAAAAAACCACTGCTTTTATTTTGAAATGTGAGTTGTACAACCGGATATGATACTCTTGATGACAGCTCGCTCTCTGAGACACCGGAAGCGTTCGTCGGTTTTGGTGACGCTGCATTAGACTGCAAGACATGGACCGGTCTCGTAAGTGAATTACTGCTGAAATATCTAGTATAATGTTAGTTATGAATGTTCCTGGCGTTATGGACGTTTAGTATGTTATTAAGGAATTGTTTGTTTGAAAATTCTAGGGGAAAAAATAGCACACGGCGCGTGCAGTGTGTCGCTTCCTACTTACGATTGCTAGCTCGCCTCGTTAGCTGCAGTGGAGGCGCGAGCGTTATCTCAATGAATGAGTACCTATCGTCACAAGAGACAGTGAACTATAAAACCGTAGTATTGTTTGCTCTCTTCGGTGGTACGAGATAAATACACATTTGGACCAGCCGGCAGGTTAACTTGTGTTTGCTGTGTGTCCGCAGGGCTGCTCGGGTTGTTCCTCCTCCTCAGCCTGGCTCCTGCTGGAGCTCAGGCGCTCACACCGGCGCACTACCTCTCCCTGTCCGATGTGGGCCGACTACAGAACCTCCTGAGCCAACAGTTCACCGACCTGGAGTCCGCATACTACTCTGTTGTTGGTCTGACCAAGCTTGGAGCCACTGTTCCCGACCACAAGGTAAGCAAACCCCCTCCAATGTGTATTAAAATAAGCATCTAGGGACAATTCAATAATCAGATTTATATATATTACATGACATGTTGATCATCCATGTTCTTTTGCTTAAATGTGTGTTTGTTTGCAGGGAGTCTGCCAGTTCCTTAAATCTCAGCTTGACCCAACCAGTATAGACTCTCTCTTCTTTGCTGCTGAGACCAGTAGAGCCATTTCAGGATGTGAGGTAAGAAAGCTCTACAAATCATTTTGTTTGGTATCTGAATTACACATAACTGCCTCATGGTCAAGATGTTAAAAACAATCCTGCATATGATCACAGTTATAGGAGATTAACTGTATAAGAGCATTAGTTTGACCTGAGTGGACGATGCAGTATTATAATGTGAACCCTCAAGTGCCAAACTTTATATGAGATTTTCGTTCACTTCCTAGATCCCTGTGTCCAATGAAACCCGGGACATCCTCCTGGCTGCAGTTAGTGAAGATTCGACCATGACTCAGATCCACCGGGCCGTGAGCACACTCAGCTCTCTGGGGCTTCCTCTGGCTTCCCAGGAAGTTGTTGGTGCCCTGACGGGTCGCATCAACAAGGAGGACAACGTCATGGCGTAAGTGTTAGTTGTGTTGGTTAAGGGGTGCAGTTGCATTCTGTGTGGAGGGTCCTGCAGGGGTCATGAGCAGTTTAATTAACAACCAATGTATGTTCTGTTTGGACAGTATCACCTTAGCTCTGCAAACAGCAGCCCGCCTCTCCCAGCAGGCAGACCTTGGAGGGATCCTGGAGGAAATTGAGGTGAGCTCTCTAAATTCCACCAGGTGGTGCTGTGTCTCTGTTCTTTGGCTCAAAGCAAGACACACTGGACTCTGAAGAATGAAGCTTTAACACATGTTTTGCTTTTTTTCCTCTCAGGATCTGACAGCTCGTTTGGATGATCTTGGTGGCATCTACCTCCAGTTTGAAGAGGGGCTTGAGGCGACTGCCGTGTTTGTCACAGCTGCTTACTCCCTGTCAGATCATGTGGACATGGAGCCTCCTCTGAAGGAGGTATGGTTTCTGCATCTCAGGTTCTTTCAGGTTTTGTCTTCATGTGTTTTTTTTCCCCCTGAAACTGATGGAAGATGTGCTCTCCCCACAGGACCAGGTCATCCAGCTGGTGAACTCTATCTTCAGCAAGAAATCCTGGGACTCTCTGGCTGAAGCCTTCAGTGTTGCAAGTGCCGCCGACGCTCTCTCCAACAACCGTTTCCACGTGCCGGTCATTGTCAGCGCTCAGGGCCCAGCCACAGTGTCCCACAGCCAGCCAACCCTGCAGGTACAGACGTTAGCTAACCTAGCTACAGTCCTCTGCATGCTCTTTAGTCATTACCTCGCAGTGATGCTGTTTCTCTGTCTGATTCACAGCTCCTCGTTACTGACGTCATGTCTCAGCCTCTGACCTCAGCCAACGTGCTGGTGGAATCTGCGTACGCTGTGGCCTCCAAGAGCATCATACTCAGCCTAGCACCTTTCACACTCAATGAGTATGTATCATTAGAGAGATAAGTGTTTGCTGACGTTATTTACCCAGCTTCCCCGCCGCTTGAATATGATCCCAAAAGCTGGAAGAAATACAGGCACATGAGCTTTCATTAAATCATTGTTCAGCCCACAGAATGTTCACAGAATTGCAGTCTGAATGTTAACGCAAATAATAACATCACACAAGTCTAATTGTTGATCTATATACTAAATGTAGTTTCTTTACAAGATGTACTATATATATATATATAGTTGGGAGTTTTTTCTTTGGCAGTATTTCTTCATCCTGGTTTAAGTAGGACATTCACTGTATTATTATTATTTTTTTTCAGTGGGGTCTTTGAACTGAACTTCATGTCCAACCAGCCAGCCAGTGGATATTACCAGTTTACCGTTGCAGTGACCGGAGATAGCCGGCTGGTTGCCAATCATGTTGAGGTGAGGTGGCGGTCGGTACTGGAGACATAACTTTTATTTTTTAAATTAATAATTTTTTTTAAATATATGATTTATTTATGGGATTTCAACACAAAAACAATACAGTAAATAAACCATTGTATTTATGGCACGGATAAATTAAATGGAAAAAGAAAACTGTAGAATGAGGTTATTATTGGCAAAGAAAGTAAAGACACCAAGAGTGACAGCTACAACCATATTGTAACACAGCCACAAGAGAGGGGTGACGGGACTTGAACTGGGTTACATAGTGAGTTTATGCATCTACTCATCCCTTTTTAAAGTGTCTTTGGCTTTATTTGCCTTGGTGGAGAAAGTGATGCAAATGAAAATGTGCAATTGTTGAGTCACATGTGGGAGGTTGTGCCAATCTGAACATAATGGTAGTCACTCTTTGTTTAGGGATTTGTATGCTGCTGTAACTTGATGTAACTTTGTGTTGTGACTCTGTCCACCTGTAGCTCAAAGTGAAGGTGTCCACTGAGGTGGCTGTCACTAACATGGACCTCTCTGTGGTGGATAAGGACCAGAGCATCGGCACAAAGACCAGCAGGTTAGGAAACAAGTTTGATGAGTGAAGCACTATTCTCAGGGCCTCAGTAGCATGACAATACAATCCTGATTGCTTTTCTCTTTTAAATGAACCAGGGTGGACTATCCCTCCAAATCCAAGAGCCCGTTCACAGCAGACAGCCACCAGAACTTTGCTATGTCCTTCCAGCTGGTTGACGTCAACACTGGAGTGGAGCTTACACCACACCAGGTATGTAATCAGGGTGGGACAAGAACACATGTCAAGCTGTGGCAAAATCTGTTCATTGTTGCTTACTTCATCTGCTTTCATTATCACTTTTGTGACCATATAACTGTTCTCATTATACATCTGGCTAGCCAAAACAATAATGCAAACAGCTAACCACTGCGGGCGGTTAGAAAGCTCTCAGGCCTCAGTGTTAAAGAACACCATTTGTTTTCTCTTTCACAGACTTTTGTCCGGCTGCACAATCAGAAAACTGGCCAAGAGGTTGTGTTTGTGGCTGAACCCGACAGCAAGAATCTATACAAGTTTGAGTTGGACACAGCAGAGCGGAAATCCGAGTTTGACTCCATCTCTGGTACCTATTCCCTCTACCTTATCGTTGGGGACGCTACCCTGGAGAATCCCATCCTGTGGAATGTGGTGAGTGTCTGTTCAGATTCGGTGGTGGTAGTGAAGATTATTTACTAAGTGCTCAGCCAGTGAAAAGTTGATACTCGGCTCTAATGTTTTTTTTCGGCTCTTTTTAAAAGGCGGATGTTATTCTGAAGTTTGTGGATGAGGAGGCCCCTGCTACCATTCAGCCCAAGACTCTCTATGTACCCAAACCAGAGATCCAGGTAATACTCGTGTACTCCTTTTTTAGATCCAAATTACTGCTTGATGCTGGGAAATAAAGCAGCATGCTGTAGCTCTCAGTCCAGCAGTTTAAACTCTCCTCTTGTCTCTGCAGCACTTATTCAGGGAACCAGAGAAGAAGCCTCCCACGGTGGTCTCCAATACCTTCACTGCACTCATCCTGTCTCCATTCCTGCTGCTGCTCATCCTGGTAATATTGGTGTTTGTTTTTTTTTATCAGCTTAACTGTAGAGCAACTTATTTATGGAAATGATTTAGAAACTATTAATCTTATTTAAAGGCACACCTAAAAACCAACCTACTTCCATTATTAATTAAAACCTTTTTCAATAGAGCATTCAGCTTTGTTATATATTATTGTTGTAAGCACAGTGATCTAGTTTTTTTCCCCCCAGAAAAGCTCTTCAGTGGAAGGCCTTCGTACGCAGTGAATGAGGCTCCAGTACAGAATGAATAAAATGCTTGTTTTAATTTGAAATCACAAAA